AGAAAGCTAATCAACACGCGTTCCCCCACATCGTATCTTTTGCTTTAAAATGGTTACCTTAAATCTTCCAAGATGACGTTGTTTTGAAAAGAAACAGAAAAAAGCCAACAGCCCAGTCTCGACGCTAATCAGTGCGGTTTGCAAACAACCAAATCTTCAAACAACTGTAATCCTGTGCATATAAAAATTTTAAACTTAAGTCAAACTGAAGTTACTTTTTCAGAAGGAACAAAGGTCAAAGGAAGACTGTTTTGTTATTTCCTTAAATCTCAGCTCGGGTACCAAGCACAGATGAAGTGCTTTCACATCTCGGGTGCTGTCCTTCACGTAACATCGTGTTCAGGATAAGCCCTTATGGCCTGAGATTCCTTCACTTCCGTTAGGGCGCGTGACGCGTGCATGAAAACAGTGAATTCAACTCCCTGTATATGAATAAAAAAGAAAGTAATTTGAAATGTTTATAGAAGTGTTTATGAAGTTTTAAACTAAAGGCGACGGAAGCAGTAAATGGGATAAATGCAGACGACATTGAAAAAATTCAAAGACAAAAATCAAGACAACTTGAAAATAAAATCTAAAGCTCTCTCACAAATAAGATTATCTATCACAAGGCCATAGCGAATGCTCCTTCTAGCTGATAATGGTACAAATAAAATATGTATGTTATTGAGTTATTTTAAAGAAGCCAAGAGGCGAACGCTGCGATGAGAAGTATCATTCCAGGCGCCCCACCCCCAACCCTCAGCAGTTTGGCCGTGCAAAGGCACTTATCGAAAAAGAAACTACAGTAAAGCAGGCAGGCATGTGTTCGATCGCATACCTTTTGATCTCGAGTCAACTAAAAGCGAAAACAAATCAGCTACCGCGTCTCCTAGTGCGGCTGGTCTTTCACAAACATAACACTAGTAACAGGATATCAGCTACCGTGTCTCCTAGTGCGGCTGTTCTTTCACAAACATAACACTAGTAACAGGATATCAGCTACCGTGTCTCCTAGTGCGGCTG